TTTTGTTTTTGTTTTTGTTTTTGTTTTTGTTTTTGTTTTTGTTTTTGTTTTTGTTTTTGTTTTTGTTTTTGTTTTTGTTTTTGTTTTTGTTTTTGTTTTTGTTTTTGTTTTTGTTTTTGTTTTTGTTTTTGTTTTTGTTTTTGTTTTTGTTTTTGTTTTTGTTTTTGTTTTTGTTTTTGTTTTTGTTTTTGTTTTTGTTTTTGTTTTTGTTTTTGTTTTTGTTTTTGTTTTTGTTTTTGTTTTTGTTTTTGTTTTTGTTTTTGTTTTTGTTTTTGTTTTTGTTTTTGTTTTTGTTTTTGTTTTTGTTTTTGTTTTTGTTTTTGTTTTTGTTTTTGTTTTTGTTTTTGTTTTTGTTTTTGTTTTTGTTTTTGTTTTTGTTTTTGTTTTTGTTTTTGTTTTTGTTTTTGTTTTTGTTTTTGTTTTTGTTTTTGTTTTTGTTTTTGTTTTTGTTTTTGTTTTTGTTTTTGTTTTTGTTTTTGTTTTTGTTTTTGTTTTTGTTTTTGTTTTTGTTTTTGTTTTTGTTTTTGTTTTTGTTTTTGTTTTTGTTTTTGTTTTTGTTTTTGTTTTTGTTTTTGTTTTTGTTTTTGTTTTTGTTTTTGTTTTTGTTTTTGTTTTTGTTTTTGTTTTTGTTTTTGTTTTTGTTTTTGTTTTTGTTTTTGTTTTTGTTTTTGTTTTTGTTTTTGTTTTTGTTTTTGTTTTTGTTTTTGTTTTTGTTTTTGTTTTTGTTTTTGTTTTTGTTTTTGTTTTTGTTTTTGTTTTTGTTTTTGTTTTTGTTTTTGTTTTTGTTTTTGTTTTTGTTTTTGTTTTTGTTTTTGTTTTTGTTTTTGTTTTTGTTTTTGTTTTTGTTTTTGTTTTTGTTTTTGTTTTTGTTTTTGTTTTTGTTTTTGTTTTTGTTTTTGTTTTTGTTTTTGTTTTTGTTTTTGTTTTTGTTTTTGTTTTTGTTTTTGTTTTTGTTTTTGTTTTTGTTTTTGTTTTTGTTTTTGTTTTTGTTTTTGTTTTTGTTTTTGTTTTTGTTTTTGTTTTTGTTTTTGTTTTTGTTTTTGTTTTTGTTTTTGTTTTTGTTTTTGTTTTTGTTTTTGTTTTTGTTTTTGTTTTTGTTTTTGTTTTTGTTTTTGTTTTTGTTTTTGTTTTTGTTTTTGTTTTTGTTTTTGTTTTTGTTTTTGTTTTTGTTTTTGTTTTTGTTTTTGTTTTTGTTTTTGTTTTTGTTTTTGTTTTTGTTTTTGTTTTTGTTTTTGTTTTTGTTTTTGTTTTTGTTTTTGTTTTTGTTTTTGTTTTTGTTTTTGTTTTTGTTTTTGTTTTTGTTTTTGTTTTTGTTTTTGTTTTTGTTTTTGTTTTTGTTTTTGTTTTTGTTTTTGTTTTTGTTTTTGTTTTTGTTTTTGTTTTTGTTTTTGTTTTTGTTTTTGTTTTTGTTTTTGTTTTTGTTTTTGTTTTTGTTTTTGTTTTTGTTTTTGTTTTTGTTTTTGTTTTTGTTTTTGTTTTTGTTTTTGTTTTTGTTTTTGTTTTTGTTTTTGTTTTTGTTTTTGTTTTTGTTTTTGTTTTTGTTTTTGTTTTTGTTTTTGTTTTTGTTTTTGTTTTTGTTTTTGTTTTTGTTTTTGTTTTTGTTTTTGTTTTTGTTTTTGTTTTTGTTTTTGTTTTTGTTTTTGTTTTTGTTTTTGTTTTTGTTTTTGTTTTTGTTTTTGTTTTTGTTTTTGTTTTTGTTTTTGTTTTTGTTTTTGTTTTTGTTTTTGTTTTTGTTTTTGTTTTTGTTTTTGTTTTTGTTTTTGTTTTTGTTTTTGTTTTTGTTTTTGTTTTTGTTTTTGTTTTTGTTTTTGTTTTTGTTTTTGTTTTTGTTTTTGTTTTTGTTTTTGTTTTTGTTTTTGTTTTTGTTTTTGTTTTTGTTTTTGTTTTTGTTTTTGTTTTTGTTTTTGTTTTTGTTTTTGTTTTTGTTTTTGTTTTTGTTTTTGTTTTTGTTTTTGTTTTTGTTTTTGTTTTTGTTTTTGTTTTTGTTTTTGTTTTTGTTTTTGTTTTTGTTTTTGTTTTTGTTTTTGTTTTTGTTTTTGTTTTTGTTTTTGTTTTTGTTTTTGTTTTTGTTTTTGTTTTTGTTTTTGTTTTTGTTTTTGTTTTTGTTTTTGTTTTTGTTTTTGTTTTTGTTTTTGTTTTTGTTTTTGTTTTTGTTTTTGTTTTTTATTGTTTGGATCCAATTAGACTCTTGGTGCATGGTTTGATTTGTCTTCACTATTGATTTTTAGACTGACTTTCTAATTTCTTTCTCTATGCTTATTTTGAGCCAATAAAGTGAATTCATTATTGGATTTGAGTTGATCTTTCAGACTTCACTAACTCTAAACTGCTTTTTGGTAATGATTGGTTTAAAAACACGTCTTTCCCTGAGCTTCATGCTGCCAGTTATGCCCATCTGACTCTTCATTCATTTTTACGTTATGTAGCTTTTTCTTTGTTCTTTTGAGTTATTAGTTTCATTTAATCCTTATCACAACTTTCTTATGACGTGTGTTTCCCTGCCTGTCTTCTGATGTTCAGGTTCTTGTTACACTTCATCAGGCAGTTATCCCTTATTTGTCAAACCCAATCATGTTATGGTGAGCCCGCATGCTGAGATATCGTTTTCTTTTCTAAGCTTTCTTACTTAATTTATACTTACATCTGATACTTTACCTCACAATATGCAGTGATTTTCTGACGAGATCATATGACATTGGAGGTGTTATCAGTGTCATGGCTCTTAGCAGCTTGTACATTCTTATGACACAGCATGGCCTTGAGTATCCTAACTTCTATGAGAAGCTTTTTGCACTATTGGTACCCTCCATCTTTATGGCAAAGCATCGGGCAAAATTTTTGAGGTGATCTTTTGTGGTTTATAATTAATTGTTTTGTAAACTAAAAATATTAGGCCAATTTGGGTGTCGTGTTCATTTCTCAGTAGTCTAGTGAAAATCTGAATCTTAATATGTTGTTGGGATAGTTTTGAGTTTTGCTTATAAACATTCTCCATTCAGTAGCCAGGTGGCATCTACGAATTATGTGTTTGTGCATGTGTGTGTATATATCTACACAGTACAGTCAATGTTGGATACAGGGAGGAGCTGGTGGGGTCCCCCCCCCCCCGGTAGAACTTACATATTTTTATATGTACTAATTAGTAGAATTCTGTAATTAATTAACTCCCTTTGTCCCAAATTATTTGTCCGGCATGAAAAATGATAACTTAAAAATAATGTATTCTCGCACGAAAATTTTCAAATGTTTTTCACTAATTGAAAGATCTCATGAAGTACTTCTAATTTGTGGAATTTTTTTTTTTTTTGAAAATTATGACACAGTCATTATTTTTAAGTTTTTGTTTTCTGTACTAAACAAATAATTTGGGAAGGAGGTAGTAATAATTATCTTGATGTTGGCCTTGTTCACCTACTAACTCTTCAACTTATTTTATACTCAATCATAATTGTACTCCTTCCTACTTGAAACTACTATAATATATGATGATGGTAATTCCAATAATTGTTAAACATGGGTTGTAGGGGTCTCCCATGGGTTTTATTTTGAGCCAAGTTGTTAAATGGGTCATTATATATAGGTCAAAAGTCTAAGGGTATGTTTGGTTTACATTTGGGAGATGAGTTTTAGAAAAAAATTTCTAAAAAATTGTTTGGTTTGAGTTTTTCTCAAAAAATTTCCAAAATCATTTTCTCTCTCTTACACATCAATCAATCACTTTTTCTCTTTCCTCTCTCCTTCTCAATCACTTTTTCTCTCACACACATCTACTCAAATTCTCCCAAAATATCAAATCATCCCAAACTCCCACAAAAACAACTCTCCCAAAATATACAACCAAACAAACCAAAAAAATTTCTAAACTCTCTCCCCAAATTTTTTTTCAAAAACAACTCTCCCAAAAACAAACCAAACAAGCCCTAAATTTCCTATTTTGATATTGAAGTAGAATTAGAAGTCATTAAAGTTTCCCATTATGATTGAAGTAGAATTGAAAGTCATAGTCGGTTTAGAATATTAGTAGTTGGTAAATAATTTTAGTTTCTAAATTTGAGTTATAGTCCTTACAAAATTAGGAGAGTCATTAGCCTATAAATATATGTGTAATCTTAAGAATTCAATAGAGGAGTTAATATTATGAAAATTCGAGATTGTGTTTGTGTGATTGGCCTATCCCTTGTGAGGGTGAAGCGCCCCCCCCCTTCTCTCTCTCTCTCTCTCTCCCCTCTTCTATCCAACAAGGCTACTGTTTGCGTCACTGTTCACAGTGCTCAGAACAGCCACCCGACAGCCACTAAACATTTGTGTTTTCATTCCCAAAACCCTACCCTTTTACAAATCCTTAAACTCCTATTTTAAATACTTTTGCTCCCATAAAATCCTACTAAATCCAGCCCTATAAGTCTATTGTTGTTGCTGCTGCCAGTATACTTAACTCGGCTCATTACTTGTGGGAAGGTAATCCCTACTCGTCCTACATCAATATATATATTTTATTTCTAAAGTTTTAAAGCGCTTGTAAATATATATATACTTTCTTAAGTGGCAAGATTACATTTTCAAAAAACCCAGTTCTATAAATAGTGGGTCTATCAGCACCATGAGCAGTTATTATGGTCAACATATTGATTAAGCAATCAAGTTGAAAATGAACTTAATTGATTGTAGGACTTCTTGTGGCTTTGATTAACTTTGTGAATATGGCAGCTGCCCTTTCTGTGAGCAATGGTTTTGGATTGGCAGTTATGTAGGTTGGTTTGTTTTAATTAAATGTTACATAGAAGAATAAAAATGCCAACATGGCATGTAAAAAAGTATTAAAAAAAAGCTAACAAAGTAACATAGGTGGCATAAAAAACATTATAATGGGAATTAATTGTTAAAGAGTGTTAGATTGGGAATCCTTTTTATTTTATTTTATAAAATAGTGTTATTTTGGACAAAAAAACTCATTTTATTTTGGGCTGAATTTTCTAACTTTTGCAATATATTATTTGCAGCTTCTTGATTCATGCCTAAAATCACCACTTCTTCCAGCATATTTAGCTGCTGCTTTTGCTAAGAAATTGAGCAGACTGTCACTTTCAGTTCCTCCGTCAGGAGCGTTGGTCATTATTGCTTTGATTCACAACCTTTTACGGAGACATCCTTCAATCAACTGTTTGGTTCATCGGGTAGCAATTTGCACTTAAGTTCTTGTATCAACGTAATTGTTTGTCTTTGAAATCTTTGCAAAATATATATGACATCATGGTTGTTGGATTCGTGCAAATGAAACTGGGGACTTATGCTGTGCATAATATTATTAGGCATGCAAACACACAAACTGTGACTCTCTCTCTCTCTTCAAATGCTAGAACAAAATACATGGTCTCAATGTTTTCATAATAGCAAAATTAACATAAATTTTTAAGTTGACCAATACGTCATTGATAGTAATGCATGTAGTGAAGGTAAATCGAATGTTAAAATTATGAAGATATACTTTGCTATTCATTTGCTATAGAGCTTTGTGCCGGAGAATAGAGGTACAAGATGAGCAAGGATGATTTGGTATTATTGAATCATATTGTGGAAAATTATGCCTAGGTTACAACTAAAGTGGCCATTGTTATCTTGAATCGACCATTTATGAACATTGCTAATATAGTTAAAGCAAAGTGCATAAAGTGGAGAAATTTGTTTACTGCAGTGTGTGAATGATAAATATGTTTTGAATTGCAAGGAAATTTCATATGATAGGTAGAAACTGCTCATGCTTTATAGAATAGTGGGCTGGAGAATTATGAAATTGATAGGTAGACGCTACTCACTCTTTCATGCCTCAACTGAAATGGAATATTTTACATTTCTTTAAGTTTAGAGATTTTATTATATTTTACAATTCTTAAAAGTTTAGAGATTTGAGTTTACTTGGGTTGGACCATGTTCTCCTTATATCTGTTTGATCTTTTGATTATTTTTTACTCTTTATAGCAGCATTCAGAAGAGCTTGCACTCAGCATTTTTTAATATTTTCTATTTGAGAACAAGGAAGTTTCGACATTTGTGCAGGAGAATGGTGATGGAACTTCTAGGGATAATTCTAGAGTGGAGGATGGTGAAACCGAGGACTCCTGTACCAAACCAGAAATATCTACCGAACCAGAAATATCTAGTAAAAAATCAGGGATTGATCATTTCAACAATGAGGAAAGTAATCCTGTGAAAACTGATGCAATGAGTAAAGTTTATGCTTCGAGATCTGTAAAGTTTCATGTATTTGAATATTTTGCTTTGCCCAACTCATGCCACCAGCACCACCATGAACATATGTACAGTACACCCACAGAGTTGAGGTTGGGTAGGGGGGATTCACTGTCAAAGCATGTTGTTTTTCTATCTTTTCTTAGATATATAAAAATCTCCTTTTTCTGTGTGATGCTTCTACTCTGAACAACTACGAGTATGTTCTATTGTTTCGCTGACTCTGCTTCTATATTTTAAAACAATATATATATATATATATATTCCATTATATAAAGCGCACAATTCAGAACATGTTTTGAAGCTATGACATGCATTTTCTCAAATCCAAATTATTCTTATGCAAATAAATCTTTAATATGCATACACGCTTTTGTGTTTTTGTCTGAGTTTGGAAGACCTTATAATGGCTAGTACTTTCTTGAACCTGCTTCTGTTGTTTCTCTCTCTGTGTTTCTATATTTCAAAACAATATATATATTCTATTATATAAAGCACACAATTCAGAACATGTTTTGAAGCTATGACATGCATTTTCTCAAATCCAAATTATTCTTATGCAAATAAATCTTTAATATGCATACACGCTTTTGTGTTTTTGTCTGAGTTTGGTATTTATAAATGAGGACATTGAGATGGATCGATATTGTCAATCCCAACTAATTGGGAGTAGACTTTATTGGTAGCTAGTCACCTTGAGTACTTTGTTGATTCATTCAGCTTTCTGGCCTGTGAGAAGGATGCGCAGATTGAAGCAATTTTCAGTTAAATGCTTCCCTGTTGCTCATGGATATTTGATATCTTTTTGTCTGCTATTATCTGTTGTGGAGTCTACAAAAACCCGGGAGTCCTACTTATTGACAATTACGTGACTGCAAATTTGTACCTTTTATACCATGTTATTCTTTTGATTTCACTATTGAGTTGGGAACTGTCCTGCTTTCATCAGTCCGCAAATATCCTGTATGATTAATGTATAAATTTTCATTCTTCTTGACTGCTATTCTTCTTTTCTTGTTAGCATTTTATGTCTTTCAGAAGAAAAAAATGCCTAACAATTGACAACATGTGTACAGGAAGTTCTCTTTGGGAGATTGATACCCTCCGTCACCACTACTGCCCACCTGTATCAAGGTGCATGCTTTAACCTTATCATCTCTGTTTCCTCTCTTGAATGTGCATGCTTGTTTGCGTTCTTTAGAATAATGTGTTTTAATTACATTGTTTGGCATTTCCTTTTCATTGACAATACCTACTTTCTTCTTTTTTAAGATTTGTTTTGTCGCTTGAGAACGATTTGACAGTAAGAAGCAAAACGACTGAAGTTGCGGTTAAAGATTTCAGTTCTGGTTCATATGCAACAATATTTAGAGCGGAGGTATATTTGCATCTATTTACACAAGAAAAAGAAAAAGAAAAAGAATATTCAATTATGCTTTCATTAACGTGATTCAATTCAAAAAAAGACTTAATCCACTTTGCAAATTGGACGAAGGGTAAAACAGGTTCCACTTGCATTCTACAAGGCAACTCCCAGCTCTTTGTTCTCGGAGTCTGATTTTGTTGGTTGGACTTTCAAATATAAAGAAAATGACGAGTTGTTTACTAGTGGTGTTGATAACAAAAACATAGACATATCTGAAGATCACGGTCATGGTTCTGCAAAGCGCCAGCGAATTGAGTGCTTGTGAAGCAAGTGGCGTCTTTATTGTTATCAAGTTTTGACTTGTTGACAATGTCTATTTTGTAGCTTATATGCTTGGAAGCCGTTTACCTGGTTCTTTTTCCATTTTTCATATTTCTCTACAATTCCTTTTCTTTTCTTTTCATTTTTAATAGATGTTAATGTAATTGGAGTTGCAAATATTTCACTTATTAATGGATCCATTCTCATGGGGATTTTTCTGAAACGGTTGTTAATACGAGTAATAATAGTGATAGTTGTGAATATAATAATTTTTTGGAAGACAATGAATCATTGAGATTCAGTCTCCAAATATTTTTATTCTAATTTATATTTAGTTGTACGAATGTCTTGAGATTTTTCGACCCAAATGTGCCTTTGGATGAATCATCTTGGAGTTCTGTGGAGCTCTGCGAAAGACTCCAGGTTAATCATATTATCTTAATTATCCAATTGAAATTATTTTCCAACATTGCAATTTTACTATATGGGCCTGCTTCCATGTACACTGCAAAACAAATTATAATATCCCACTACGCATTTTGAAGCTCATCACACCAGCCTCTTACCTGCAGCTGCATTAACTAATATATATTTATAGATATGGCCTTCATCTCATAATTGGTTTATTATATATGAAAGATTTGGTATGCTTTATCAAAAACCCTGGCTGAGAGGACTGCATGGGAGTTCTGCAAAGATAACAAGATCGATCTGGTGACCATTCTCCCCTCATTTGTTGTTGGACCTAGTTTGTCACCTCATTTGTGTACTACTGCATCTGATGTCCTCGGCTTGCTTGAAGGTAGTAATTAATGCATTCCCCTGTTGCTGACCAACTCGCTAGCTCGTTGCTATTTTTCTTCACTTTCAAAAGTTCAGTCAGTGGTGTTAAGGAATGTTATCTTGTTACTTGTATTTGTAACCAAACTGGAGTTTGGAAGCACACTAATTTACTTATTTGACTTACAGTTTGGTTGTGTTTGATCTTTCGAATAAACAAATAGGAAAGACTGAGAAATTTCATTGCCATGGAAGGATGGGATATGTGCACATTGATGATGTAGCACCCTGCCACATCCTTGCTTATGAGCATGAAAATGCACATGGACGATACCTTTGTAGCTCAATTGTTGTCGACAATAATGAGCTTGTTTCCGTGTTGTCTCGACGCTATCCAACATTGTCCATTCCCAAGAGGTTGGCATTGTTTTCTCAGTAAAGATTAATGTTATCAACATTAAACTGTTCTATTTTAGATTATTAGTTTGTAAAACCTTTCATTGTTTTTGTAATATTGATGTTCCAAGGTTCAAATCTTTTTTTTTTTGGGAATTTTGACAACATTTTTGAAGTGAAAACATGCATAATATTAAAATTTTATAAAAGTTTGGATGAAAATATTCAATTTGCGTGACAAGAGAGAATTTATTATCGTCTGATCAAGGGAGGGGGGATTTATATATAGCAATTATGTATGTATTGTATGTGTACGTGGATTAGTGATTGATGAACTGATGATTTCTACATGTGGCCTATATTTCAAATTCGAGGCACTTGATAGGCCATATTATGAGCTCAATACTTCTAAATTGAGAAGTTTGGGATTCAAGTTCAAGTGTATCGAAGAGATGTTCAATGATTGCATTGCTTCTTTAATGGCGCAAGGACATCCTTGTTTAGCCTAGTCTAGCTACAACTACTAACAACATCCTACAATATTTTGAATATGAACTTTTTCTTGCTCTGACATCGATCGAATTTTAAAATTTACTTCTTGTAGTTCACACCTTCCTTCTAATATTTTCAATGATTTATTATGAATAAGAATAATATATATATATATGTTTCCCCTCCCTCTACAAATTCATGCTTTAAATGGAATGCATGGTGAACAAAAAGAAATTGTGCTCTGGAAATTGAAATTTGTGGGCGGTCTAATATGAATTCACATATTAAAGTCAATTTTTTGTTATTTTTTGTCCCATTTGTGTACTCTCTACCAAGACATGTAAATCTCTATGTATTTTTTTTTGGTGTGTATGGATGTGTTTAATATTTTCGCCTAAATCTCCAAATTTAGAGATGTTAAATTTATTTGAAAGTTTGTGGTAGTTTAGTATTAAAATTTGATGTCTTTAAAAAAAAATTCTCGAAGTAATTTTTTATTTTATTATGTTTTATTTGACATACACTACAGAGATTAACAAATGAAACAAATAAATTTTACTCATTGATTTAATACCCCATCATATTTATCGAAGAGAGTCCTAATTTCAAAATTACATAAATTATTAAGATTTAAAAATAAATAAATTTTACTAGCTTAAAGCCCATTCTATGCATGAGCAAGTAACAAAATGTAATAAATGATATTAAACATGTTAAAAATTAACTAAATACTATAATATTAATTTAGATGAGTATTTAAATAATATATTTGAGTGATTTCACTATATTTATATAGATGTGCAGGATTAATTAATTTTTTTGAAATACACTCATTCGAATAAACTCAATGAAGAGTAAGAGTGAGATTCTATAAATATAAGATAAAAATAAAAAATAAAAATAAAAATTAAGTTTAAATTTGAAGATGAATATAGAAAGAGAAATTTATGTGGCACGTGACCTCCCATATATTGGAAACGACACGACCAAGCTGTGTAGCTCACGCGCATTAAAAACACCTCTCACCTCCACCTTTAACACTAACACAAACAACCAAACAACTCTATGTCTACTAATAAATCAGCTCCATTCATTTGATCATTGAAATTGTTCCGTTGGATTGGACAATGAGACTGGCTTCTCTCCATTCCTCCATTGAACTAGAGAGGTATTGTGGGACTCAGTAGACTCCCTTTTGAGTCTTGTTTCTATAATTCGAGTCATTCATATTTTAAGATTTATCGAGTATATCATCTTTACAAAAAATGAAGTTAATCGGATAACAACAATCACGTGTTTGGATCAATTTTGTAAAAAAAAATAAACGGTGAAAAAATAAACGGTTTATACAAAATTAATCCAAACACGTGTTTTCCGTTATCCAATTTGATTTTTTTTTTATAGAAATAATATATTCAATAAATTTTAAAATGTAAACGATTCGAATCATGGAAAAGTCTAAAAACCTGCCCACTAGGCCGGACTGGACGACCCAGTCCGATGGAAGATTGGAGAGAGACCGATAACACGTCTGATAGTTGCTCCAAGTTACTGATAAGAGAATTAATTTTCTTGAGTCCGATAACGCGTGATAATTGCGCCTTGTTATTGATAATTGCGTCTGATAATTACTCCTAGTTATTAATTGTGTTGGTCATCCATCCAAACTGGGATCCTAGTTATTCACTGTGTTGGTCATCCATCCAAACTAGGAAACTAGGATTTACACTAGTATATATACACTACACAACTTCATTTATAGTGACGTCGTTCCTTGGATTGGTGTTCACGGTTTAATAACTTGATTCATTCTTGGTGGTCTTCACATATCAAACACTTGGTGATCTTCGGTAATCTTCTTCTTCTTCTTCTTTTTCTTCGTTGGGTTGGTGTATTTGTTTTTCATTGCATATTAGTAATATGATGTTACACACTCGGGTTCGGTCATCTTCATTTGGTGGATTCGGCTTTATTGATATGGTGACGATAACTCCGTGGTTGCCGTTGCTGACACCAGTACCTCCACCTCCGTGGTTCCCTACGTTCCTGTCTACCGACGATGAACAACCTTTGATCATCCTTAAGTTTCTTCAACACTCTCTCGCAACAGAAAAATGGTGTATATGGAAAAAACCAAAAGTCGGCTGGATTAAATTAAACACTGACGGATCTATACGTGGTGGTCGAAATAATGTTAGGACTACGAGTTATGGTGGTCTTCTACGTGATTACAATGGTCTTCCCATTTGTGCTTATGTCTCCTCCGTTCTTCCTCCCAAAGATGTACATAACATCTTCGTAGACGAATTATGGGCCATATGGAGAGGTCTCATGCATGCGTTCAAACTGGGTATTAAATATATTTGGATCGAGTCTGATTCGTTGAGTGTCGTCAAAACAATTAAGAAAGAGCAACAGTGCTTTCATTCAACGGCTAATAGCGGATTGGACCACATTTGGCGGCTTCTGAACAAGTTTGACCAATTCGAAATTTCTCATTCATGGTGTGAATCTAACCGGGCTGCGGACTATCTCGCGAAGATGGATTTTGGAGTTAATGATGCTGTTCTGCAGCCGGTTGATTTTCCAGAAAGCTTGATCGATATTATCAATGAGGATGCTCGTGGAAAGTTGTACATGAGAAGCAAGAAAGATTAGTTATGGTTTTGTCATAGTCATTTGTCATATTATTGTACAATCACAATTTGTTGTGTATGTACATCCTCAAATTTGAATATAATATTTGGGTTGTGTTTTTATTTTGAAAATTTTCTCAAAAGCAATTTGTGTAAATGGCTTTTCTAAATAAGTGTCCTGTTTTTTTTTTTTTTTTTGGATTTTTTGATGTTGTTTCCTTATGTCGTCACTTCCTCTGTCTTTAGACTGGAAAATAGGCTTAAGAAAAAATAGCAAACAAAAGCAAAGTTCTCTGGAATGAAAGAAAGGGGTAATTTGTAGGAAGTACTTGTGAAATAGCCCTCATTCACCAACAGTAAAAGATGTAATTATTAAATAAAAAACAGAGGCTAATACGTAATTAGGCAAATTGTAAGGAGATATTGTTAATTTACCCTTAACTTTATTTACCTGATACAAGGTATTTTGAAGAAATTTACCAATGTATGTTTTATTTAATTTTATTTTGTTAAAGTCGTGAGATCAAAAAATACAATTTCAATTTTGAAATTATATTTTTAAAAATGAAATGCTAATCACTACTAACGTTGTTATTTTCTTTTTTCATTCTAAGGATAATTTTTTTATTCAAAAACTATTAACTTATTTACTAAATCTGTCAACAAAAGAGACCTTCATGGATATCAGTTCATAAAACATTTATATACTCTAGTTCTCTGTTCCAAATTGATTCTATAAAACATAATAACTTAAGATGGCATTATGAATGCATATGACTTGCAATCACTAAACCTCAATCATTACTAAGCATGTTAAATCCCAAGATGTTGGAGAGATTCTGGGCCAACAAGGAATACACGCTTCAGGCTTTGGTATCAAAAAATAACTACTCCTCTGTACGTTGTTCTTGGCACGCCATCCTGGGAAAGGACACAAAACAATGGTTGTGATTTCTTTGAAAGGGAAACAATTTCAAACAATGAGACTACCATTAGAACAACCATATAGTTTACATGTGTGAAAAAGGCCTTCAAACTCTAAATGATTAAAAAAATGTATAATTTTACATCTCCAAGAAAGCGTATCAAAGCATGAGAGAGATAGAGGGAGAAGTTCAACATTATTTGAATTCTTCTGTTCAATAAGAAACAAGAACTTCATTAAAGGGAGCTTAATTCGCAGAGTCAAAATACACATATCCAGTTATTGAAATATGAGCAAATTAATCAGGAGCACAAGAAAATGCTCGCAAATATTAAGCATACTTTAGAATACATTTGAGAGCCCTTTCAAGATAATTAGCACGGTTACAAGCCGTAACCACAACTGGAGCCTAATAATTCAGAAAAGAGGGATGCATATGTGATGACTTTTAAACAAAAAAATAAATAAATAAAATAGAAGAATTAAAATGACAGCATGATAACATTATAACTATCAAATTACAAACAAAAAAGCACAAGTACACACATCAGTTAAATGAAAAATGTGCAGGGGTATAATGTAACAGGCTAAGAATTTGAGCCAAGTTTTTCAAATGTGTTGAACAACTACATCTCAAATGGTGACCGTCTATTATAATAGAGTGCATTGTATATGAACAATACTGTAAGAAATAGATGTATTATTGATTGATATATGTTGTATTTTACAAATGGTGAGGGGCTCCTTATATAGGAGATGTAGTGGAGTAGGTGGTAGTAAGTGGTAGTGGTAGGTGTGTAGTAGGTGGTAGTAGGTGGTGGTAGGTGTAGTAGGTGGAGTAGGTGATGGTAGGTTTTAACAGCTCCCCGCAAACTCAAGGGGGATAGGAACTAACCAACTTGAGTTTGGAGAGAGTAACAAAACAAGAAAATAATCTGAAAAATAAAAAAAAAAAAGGATAAGAGACACTGTATGGTCGTGTCAGACCGTTGTAGAAGACTGTTTTTCCATTTTTCATATTTCTCTACAATGCCTTTTCTTTTCTTTTCTTTTCTTTTTGATAGATGTTAATGTAATTGGAGTTGCAAATATTTCAATTATTAATGAATCCATTCTCCTAGGGATTTTTTGTCAGACGGGTGTTAATACGAGTAATAGTAGTAATAGTTGTGAATGTAATAATGTTTTGGAAGACAATGATGCATTGAGATTCAGTCTCCAAATCTCTTTATTCTAATGTATATTTTGTACGAATGTCTTGAGATTTTCTCTTTCTCAATATTATATGATTGAAATATATTAGAACAAATGGATACAACAAAAATTTGCTGGCCTAGTTTGGCGTTCAGTTCAAGACATGTTAATTGCTATTACATCTGTGTGTGTGTGTATTCATTTGAGGACTTGATGGGTAATACATGTTGCACTGTTGGTGTTTGAATTTAGTTACAGTTTGAATGTTTATATTCGATTTCAATTGCACTGAGCCATCCTAATCCAAACACAACCTGAGCTCAAAAGCTCAAAAAATATAATTTAGTTGAAGTTGAGGTATGTAAGCAGTGAATAATAAAATGCAGGCATTCTTTGGTTGGACTGCCTACTTGTAACCTTAACAACAGTGCACATGCTTGAGATGATTTGCCTTCTCGACATCCTACCCTCCAACAATGCCAAGCTGATTTTCCAATCAAGGTCATGCTGCCTTATGTAGATGGATATTGTTCACAAAGTAAAAGTATCTGTGCTTCATAGGTAAACAAAAAGTAAAATGCAATGTCCAAACAACTCAGCCTCAGATACTTGCTTCCATTTTTGGATTGGTTATATTTAGAAACCCAGTTTTGGAACTTTGAATTCTGAAAATTTTGTCTCATGTTACAGGCTTATCATTTTTGCATAAATTTTATTTTGTGTTTCATTGATTTAATTATTGTCTGGGATAAATTTTAGGGTAATATCGTACCTATAAGTATATAAGTTTCCAAATGAAGTTTTGTTGATGGATACTATAATTCCTTCTTGGTACAGTTATTTTACTTACATCACTGTAGAAAAGTTGGCTCGACCTTCAACCTTTTGTTTTCTTAGTTATTCTTTTATTACATTTGTACTCGTAGTTTTGTTATTTTCTAATCTGGTCTACAATTTCCCTCCTCTCTAGACAATAAAATTGTGAGTGTAGACGGTGACGACAAAAGTCATTCAAGAACAAGGTTAGTGTTACTTGTATAAACAGCCCTTTCTGTGCAGATTAACCCTTTCTTTAATCTTTACTCTCCTCCTCTTTGTGATAAGATTTAGATGTGAAATAAATTAAATGAATGGTTACTTACTCATTGCTTGATTTCACACGAATGGTATTTGTAGTGAAGCCTGCCTTACATAGTCACATGGTTGCTTGCACATGTTGATGTGCGATTGAAGTTTTAGGTGGCTTGATGACTGGCATTGCTCTCTGTTTGGCTGTTAAATAAATTAGAAAATTTCGTTTTCGCTTTTTTAATCGTATCTTATCACACATCCCCCCTTTAGAAGGCATGGATGAGAAAGCTAAACATGAGGTGTGGAATGGATCAGGTGGCTCCCTGCTTCTGTTTAATATGGAAGTTTGAAATTCTCTGAATTTAGCTGAATTTTTTTTTTTATACATTATTAGGATGCATCAAATCTGTGAATTCTGGCCTCTAGCTTGGAATTAGACGGCAAAAACATAAATTTTCTTCTGTCTGTTTTCCTGGGACAAGTGCTGACTTGATGTAACATGTTTCTTTCAACTTGAATTTTGCTTATACAATGCAAGGTGTGTCCAATTATGGTTATTCTAGGCATGCGGCACGGCAAGAAATTCTTTCTTTTTTCTGGTTATTCTAGGCATGTGGCATGACAAGGAATTCTTTCTTTTTCTCCCCTAAGATGAGAAGGTTGTAAGCTGCTCCCAGAATGTGATTTTTTCTGAACTTCTCCTAATGTTTGTTAAGATTAGAACTACTAGTAAACAAAGCATTCTTTGGCTACATATTATGGTTAGAGTGGAAAACACTTACACTAGCGCGCACATAGTGCATTTTGTTGTATATGTATGTGCCACATAGTGATATTTTTTGATATTTAATTTTTTTGATTATTTAAAGAATAAGGATTGTGAGGCTCAAGCCTTATGCCATGGAGCTCCTACTATTTCATGCTTGAAGAGCTGTCCTTTCCCTAAATGGGAAGCTTATAATTGTGTATATACATATATATGTATGTTAGACAGATTTCAACACTAATTTTCTTTTTCTTTATATCCTCCGCTGTATCTGTTCATGGCTCTTGTTAATTTTATCTTGCTCTTAAATGACCTTCTAGTTTTGTGAGAACAAGATTCCTATGTTTGTTTCCTTTTGATTAGGACTCTTTATTAAAGAAGGTGATTGCAAAGAGGATTGTCAACATCCAAAAGCATATGTTAAACAGAACAAGTTGGAACAATCTAGCAATAATGTATCTTGTTGAATTATTGGATTGTCTCAAGTTTCTTTTTTCCCTTATAGAAAAGAGATGTTTTTTTAACATATGCAAACCCCTCGTTTCTCTCGCTTCAAACCCCTTCATTTATTAATCGATCAATCTGCAACACTTCTCTTCTCACATTCAAGTTCGATTTGAAGATGATACTTACTGATGGAATCATTCTATTCAGGTATGCTAGGTTTCATCTACTTTATCATTCTTAGATCAGATTGATTGAAGATCTATTGATCGATTGAAGGTTATTTCGAAGTTCAACCTTCTTCAGCTCGGTGATTCAATCTCAGATTCATCCGGCGAGGAAAGTGAGCACCATCATCTACTAAGGTGAGCACCATCGCTTCAGAAAACCTCAAGTTCTATCTCTCTCTCTCTCTATAAAGTTCTTCCTTCCCGTCGATTCTTCTCCTAGGGTTTTCAATCAATGTTCTGAAGAAGTTTAATCTCTGTTTTTTATTGATCAATTTTTATTGATCAATCAGTGTTTTACACATCTCATTTATTTTTCCCCACATCACCAGAACTGATTTTTCAATCAGTGTTCTTTATTTTTCACTCTCTGCCTTTTTTTATTACCCTGTTTTAAACCCTAAATTAGCATCAACAATATTAGCTTGTTTTTTTCCTATGCTGATCTGATTTTTGGTCCCAATTCTGATGTATGCACATATTATACTTTCTTAATGGCATTGTTGTTAGGGTTGCAAAGTTTAATGGTTCTAGCTGATTTTTAGGAGTTAAGTTTTTGAATCTTTGGTACTTATTCCAGTTACAAGATTAGGGGCTTTAAGCAGGTGTTAGAGCTTTTGCAACCCAGTCGGCTGCCATGTTTTTGTGTCTGCTCGTCCAAGAAAAGGAGAGGTGATGCTGTGCTGCAAATTCACGAATATCCAAAAGAGGGTTTGGTGGGAGAATAGTTTAGAATAAAAAAAGATAGATAATATAGTTCGCTCTGTCCTGAAGAGAAAAAAGCTGAAAAAGAGGGAGGTGGTGATGAACGTGGACGTAGCACAACTTTTCGAACTGGACGCGTTACAAGATTGGGACTACACGTTCATGCCCACGTGTGGGACAGTTGGTGATTTCAGGTTTTGAGTAAAGTGGGTCTAGGGAGAGAAAGTAGAGAGAGAGAGAGGAACAAAGTAGTCATGATCTCTGCTCTTCTTCGTTCTGCAACATACGAACAAAATGCTGAAAATCACAAGGATCGCAACACCACCTATGGCAATCCCAACGACAAGCCCTGTCGATACACTCGATGATGAGCTCGACGGCGTCGATGGGGTGGTCGATGATGACGGTGGCGACGGAGAACTCGAGGACGACGGAGGTGGCGGCGATGGGGTCGGGGTAGTCAAATTCCCTCATCACCTGCATCGTGCTCACCAGAGGCAATGAAATTAATTGCTGCTCTAGTCGAAGAACAAAATATTCTAGAGGCAAATACTACACTTGCTGCTGGAGTTTCAGCATTTCTCTGGCTATACATCTCCATCCAAGGGTATAAACCTGCAAAGGTTGTTATCACTTCTGAGCTCCCACTTGGCTCTGGCTTGGGTTCGTCTGCAGCATTCTGTGTGTCAGTCTCAGCTGCCCTGCTTGCTTTGTCGGAATCTGTGAATCTTGATTTTGGTCATCAAGGTTGGTTAATGTTTGGAGAAAATGAGCTGGAATTGGTGAACAAATGGGCTTTTGAAGGTGAAAAAATAATCCATGGGAAGCCGTCTGGTATTGACAACACAGTGAGGTGCCGACAGGGAGAGGGAGGTTTGAATTGGTTGAGATCCGGCGGGCGGTCAAGGCAAGGTTGCCGCCCGCGGGAAGGCGAAGAACACCAAGATCTTTAACCTATAGCTCTGATACCATGTAAGAAATAGATGTATTATTGATTGATATATGTTGTATTTTACAAATGGTGAGGGGCTCCTTATATAGGAGATGTAGTGGAGTAGGTGGTAGTAAGTGGTAGTGGTAGGTGTGTAGTAGGTGGTAGTAGGTGGTGGTAGGTGTAGTAGGTGGAGTAGGTGATGGTAGGTTTTAATTATCAGGAAAAAAAAGGAAAAACCAAGTAGCAAAAGTTCTCACTTAGAAAAAAGAGAAGACGGGATTGAAAGGAAGATTGTAGAATTGAAGAAAAGTTTTAAACTTAATGCGACACCCCAAAGAATGTAACGTGATATAACTATATTATTATTCATCCTTGAATACCTTAAGCCCTGCCTTATGTTATATGTCTACTTGAATTATGACTTCTTAAGAATTAGAAGTGAGAAACACGCCTTGATAAGACAAACCAAAGAATATAATTACTTGAGAATGAGTTTGAAAGTATATGTTAATATAGAGCTTTGAACATGGAAATCCTTATGTCTTGTATTGAGAGTTAGGGAAGGACTGAATTTAGACTAATCAAGGAGCTTAAATATTTTAGACTAATGTGATTGTCATATTGATGCTATATTGTTTTTATAATCGGGATTAGTGCTAATTAAGTAGAATTAGTGAACTTTACTCGTGATTAATTAAGCTAAGCAAGATTAAGTTAAACCTTGGTCAATTAGAAATCAACCTTGATTAATTATAACTAAGATTGATTAACTAAGCTAATTAATCCTTGGTGATGCATACGCACACCTCAACATTTCCTACAAAACAAAAGTGAAGAATATAGAAAGAGAGAGAGAGCTCTAGAGTTTATTTAGGCTAATAAGGATTAAGGAGTAAGCATGATTAGTTAGGACTAAAGCTTGGTTAATTAAGCTAATGGGACAATTAGTAAAATACTTAAGGTAATCTTGATTAAGCTAAGCTAAGCAAATAAATTAGGATTTGGTGAAGCATACACATAGGTGAAGCGAACAAGCACCTTCCTTTTTGTATTATTTAACTTTTGTCTTGCCTTAACTCAATAAAACGAAACACAAAGAAGAAAATCTGTAGAGTCAAGAAGAAAGGAGAAGAAAGAAAAAGGAAACAGAATAAAGGACAAGAAAAAAAACAAGGGAAAGAAACAAGCGAACTGAGTTCTTGTGAAGCAAGTGGTGTTTTTTTTGTTATCAAGTTTTGACTTATTGACAATGTCTATTTTGTAGCTTATATGCTAAGAAGCCGTTTACTTGGTTCTTTTTCCATTTTTCATATTTCTCTACAATGCCTTTTCTTTTCTTTTCTTTTCTTTTTGATAGATGTTAATGTAATTGGAGTTGCAAATATTTCAATTATTAATGAATCCATTCTCCTAGGGATTTTTTGTCAGACGGGTGTTAATACGAGTAATAGTAGTAATAGTTGTGAATGTAATAATGTTTTGGAAGACAATGATGCATTGAGATTCAGTCTCCAAATCTCTTTATTCTAATGTATATTTAGTTGTACGAATGTCTTGAGATTTTCTCTTTCTCAATATTATATGATTGAAAATATATTAGAACAAATGGACACAACAAAAATTTGCTGGCCTAGTTTGGTGTTCAGTTCAAGACATGTTAATTGCTATTACATCTGTGTGCGTGTGTTTTCATTTGAGGACTTGATGGGTAATACATGTTGCCCTGTTGGTGTTTGAATTTAGTTACAGTTTGAATGTTTATATTCAATTTCAATTGCACTGAACCATCCTAATCCAAACACAACCTGAGCTCAAAAGCTCAAAAAATATAATTTAGTTGAAGTTGAGGTATGTAAGCAGTGAATAATAAAATGCAGGCATTCTTTGGTTGGACTGCCTACTTGTAACCTTAACAACAGTGCACATGCTTGAGATGATTTGCCTTCTCGACATCCTACCCTCCAACAATGCCAAGCTGATTTTCCAATCAAGGTCATGCTGCCTTATGTAGATGGATATTGTTCACAAAGTAAAAGTATCTGTGCTTCATAGGTAAACAAAAAGTAAAATGCAATGTCCAAACAACTCAGCCTCAGATACTTGCTTCCATTTTTGGATTGGTTATATTTAGAAACCCAGTTTTGGAATTTTGAATTTTGAAAATTTTGTCTCATGTTACAGGCTTATCATTTTTGCATAAATTTTATTTTGTGTTTCATTGATTTAATTATTGTCTGGGATAAATTTTAGGGTAATATCGTACCTATAAGTATATAAGTTTCCAAATGAAGTTTTGTTGATGGATACTATAATTCCTTCTTGCTACAGTTATTTTACTTACATCACTGTAGAAAAGTTGGCTCGACCTTCAACCTTTTGTTTTCTTAGTTATTCTTTTATTACATTTGTACTCATAGTTTTGTTATTTTCTAATCTGGTCTACAATTTCCCTCCTCTCTAGACAATAAAATTGTGAGTGTAGACGGTGATGACAAAAGTCATTCAAGAACAAGGTTAGTGTTACTTGTATATACAGCCCTTTCTGTGCAGATTAACCATTTCTTTAATCTTTACTCTCCTCCTCTTTGTGATAATATTTAGATGTGAAATAAATTAAATGAATGGTTACTTACTCATTGCTTGATTTCACACGAATGGTATTTGTAGTGAAGCCTGCCTTACATAGTCACATGGTTGCTTGCACATGTTGATGTGCGATTGAAGTTTTAGGTGGCTTGATGACTGGCATTGCTCTCTGTTTGGCTGTTAAATAAATTAGAAAATTTCATTTTCGCTTTTTTAATCGTATCTTATCACACATCCCCCCTTTAGAAGGCATGGATGAGAAAGCTAAACATGAGGTGTGGAATGGATCAGGTGGCTCCCTGCTTCTGTTTAATATGGAAGTTTGTAATTCTCTCTATTTTCTATTTTACAATACTTCATTTCTGTTAAATTAGCTGAATTTTTTTTTAATACATTATTAGGATGCATCAAATCTGTGAATTCTGGCCTCTAGCTTGGAATTAGACGGCAAAAACATAAATTTTCTTCTGTCTGTTTTCCTGGGACAAGTGCTGACTTGATGTTACATGTTTCTTTCAACTTGAATTTTGCTTATACAATGCAAGGTGTGTCCAATTATGGTTATTCTAGGCATGTGGCACGGCAAGAAATTCTTTCTTTTTTCTGGTTATTCTAGGCATGTGGCATGACAAGGAATTCTTTCTTTTTCTCCCCTAAGATGAGAAGGTTGTAAGCTGCTCCCAGAATGTGATTTTTTCTGAACTTCTCCTAATATTTGTTAGGATTAGAACTACTAGTAAACAAAGCATTCTTTGGCTACATATTATGGTTAGAGTGGAAAACACTTACACTAGCGCGCACACACATGCCTATATGTTCATTTATATCATCAGTGCATTTTGTTGTATATGTATGTGCCACATAGTAATATTTTTTGATATTTAATTTTTTTGATTATTTAAAGAATAAGGATTGTGAGGCTCAAGCCTTATGCCATGGAGCTCCTACTATTTCATGCTTGAAGAGCTGTCCTTTCCCTAAATGGGAAGCTTATAATTGTGTATATACATATATATATGTATGTTAGACAGATTTCAACACTAATTTTCTTTTTCTTTATATCCTCCGCTGTATCTGTTCATGGCTCTTGTTAATTTTATCTTGCTCTTAAATGACCTTCTAGTTTTGTGAGAACAAGATTCCTATGTTTGTTTCTTTTTGATTACAAAAATACTAGAGGCCCCAAAAATTCTACCAAAAGTTTTACCAAATGTCTCACATGTTGTGAGATCCACATGCGACCCACATTGTGTGGGTCCCACACCCACCCATGTGAGACATTTGATAAAACTTTTTGTAGAATATTTGAGTTCTCTAGCATTACTCTTTTGATTAGGAGTCTTTATTAAAGAAGGTGATTGCAAAGAGGATTGCCAACATCCAAAAGCATATGTTAAACAGAACAAGTTGGAACAATCTAGCAATAATGTATCTTGTTGAATTATTGGATTGTCTCAAGTTTCTTTTTTCCCTTATAGAAAAGAGATGTTTTTTTAACATCTGCAGTGGAGTAGGATATCCCTACCTCAAAAGATGTGACCAAATGGAGAAGATGAAGAATTTCGAAATGCTCCAAAACTCAAGATTTTCGGATGGATAGGAAGCCCACACCAAGCTCTACACTATTTACAAAGGCTCAAAGGTAGGAGATCACTAGAGGTAGATGATTTCTTAGAGAGAAGATGAAGTTTAGAGTGAGGTGCTCTCCAATGGAGGTTTTGAAAAAGTAAGAGAGAGAAAGAAAGTTAAAAAGTGATCCAAAAAGTGATTTCACGGATTGATATAAAAATCGCCTCGCTCGAGCGTGGAACTCCTCGCTCGGGCTTCAGACACAGACTCACGCTCGAGCGTGAAAAGAGCCGCTCGAGCGTCGATTGCACCCTTCCAGAAGTTTTGCAGGCGATGGTATCCGCTCGAGCGTAAAACTCTCCGCTCGAGCGGAGGGACAAAATCAAGAGATCACGCTCGAGCGTAAAAAAAATATCGCTTGAGCGGACGGACTGCAGAGTAAAGTACTGGGAGATGGAGAACCACGCTCGAGCGTAAAAACTCCCGCTCGAGCGGAGAAGCAACAACGAAAAGCCTGCTCGAGCGTTAAAACTTCCGCTCGAGCGTGAAGGCAAAAAACCTGGGCATCACCTTTTGGTTTCAAAGTGCAACCAACCTGTTTTAAACTTGCCCATCACAACCCAAGACTCAAATACAAAGAGTAAAGGCTAGAAGTGATAATGATACAAAACAAATCCACGAAACCAAGTCTAGAATACAGTATACAAAGGAAGGAAAAACCGGGATCGCTATAGATGCGACTGTAAAAGGAACTTACTGTCTAGATACAAATAAATATGGAAATAATTGTTCCAATGAGTAATAGATAAAAAGATTATGCATAATGAATGATAGAATGCTTCCAAGTTTACAAATTAATATATTTATAGATTCTCATTAGTAAAACTCAGTGGCCATGATTGTGTTGACTTCTCTTTTGGAAAAAATT